CATCTCCGCATGCTCACCAGTCCCGTTCACCACTCTCCCGTCGCCCGTTGTCTCGCTCGCCCCAATTTCGCCGACCAACGTCGCCGACTGACCACCTGCTGCGGGAAAACTAGATGATGCAGCTCCCGGAGGTGATGCTGCATCGACCAATTGCCCGCGAAATCCTCTGACCATGCTGCCGACTCAACGCAACCTTATTGACATTGAAGTAGATGACACACCCGTTGTGTCACTTGTGGACACAGGGGCTCACATATCAGTGATTAATTCAGAACTTCGTTTCTGCCTTAGGAAAGTTTTAACGCCACCCACAGTGCCACTCATCCAGGTCGCCGACGGCGGCATGTTTCCAGTGCTTGGAATGTGCTCCGCGCGTATAAGTGTGGCTGATCACTCCACGACAGTGTTATTTGCTGTGCTCGAGAAATGTTCCCATGAACTTATCGTCGGCATGGACTTTTTATCCGCCCACTCTGCCCTTATTGATTGTGGAACCGGCATGCTTCAACTTGATTTACCCTGTTACCATGACGACCCAACACCAGCTCAACCCCATCTGTGTTCTGCAGATAACGTTCGCCTGGCACCTCAAGCTGTTACTTCCGTGAACCTGAGATCTGTCCCTCCTGTTCCCGATGGTGACTACATGTTGACACCTATTGCTGACGTTCTGCTGGCCAAAAATGTTGCTGTGCCTCACACACTTTTGACAGTCACGGGAAATACAGCATCTCTTCCCATCCTAAACTTCAGCTGGTGCGCTCTAGTTATCCCAGATGGTATGACTTTGGCAAAAGTTTCTTCTATAGATGCTGCCATTTTGGCATTTGTTGCCGAATCATCTTCGTTCTCTGCTCCGTTCTCATCCTCGAAGAGCGCAGCAGATGCCCACATCGACAAGATGATTGCTCCGGACCTTCTTCCAGCACAGACAGCTGACATCCGGCACCTGCTGAAATCCTACCGCGACATCTTTGATTTTGATGACCGCCCTTTGGGTCAGACATCCTTGTAACTCATACGATTAACACTGGAAACGCCAGCCCCATCCGACGACGTCCTTATTGTGTGTCTAATGCTGAGCGACAAGTTATCCAGCAAGAAATTGAAGAAATGCTCACAAAAGACGTTATCAAACCTTCCTGTAGTCCATGGGCATCGCCGGTTGTGCTAGTCAAGAAGGATGGCAGCTGGCGCTTCTGCGTAGACTACCGTCATTTAAACAAAGTAACACGTAAGGACGTGTATCCACTTCCGCGGATTGATGCTCTCGACTGCCTACATGCGTCTGCCTACTTTTCATCTATCGACTTGTGATCAGGATACTGGCCGATTTCCGTCGATCATCGAGACCGTGAAAAAACCGCATTCATCACACGAGATGGACTTTTCCAGTTCAAGGTTATTCCATTCGGATTGTGTAATGCGCCAGCTACATTTGAAAGGATGATGGACTCTCTCCTGCGTGAGTACAAATGAACCACATGCCTGTGCTATCTCGATGACGTCATCGTATTTTCACCTACATTCGAAAGCCACCTTAGCCGCCTAACGGCTGTTCTTGAGGTTTTCCGGACAGCAGGACTTCAGCTTAACTCTTCCAAATGTCGCTCTGGCCGTCAAGATATCACTGTGCTGGGCCACCTTGTCAGTGCTTGAGGCGTGCAACCTGATCCTGACAAAATTCGAGTTGTCAAAGATTTTCCCATACCACATTCCGCAAAAGATGTACGGAGTTTTATCGGCCATTCTTCCTACTTTCGACGTTGCTGACATTGCCCGACCACTTACGGAGCTATTGAAGAAGGACATGCCTTTTTATTGGGGTACTGACCAAGCAGCTGCCTTCAGCACTCTTATAACATTACTTACTTCCCCACCCATCTTGGCCCATTTCGACCCATCAGCCCATACTGAAGTTCGTACCGATGCCAGCGGACATGGAATTGGTGCTGTTCTCGCCCAGCGGCAACGAGGACAGGATCGCGTCATTGCTTATGCCAGTCGCCTCCTTTCTCCTTCGGAGAGCAAGTTTTCTATTACAGAGCGTGAGTGCATCGCACTAGTCTGGGCAGTCGGAAAATTTCGACCGTACTTGTTTGGCCGCAACTTTTCGGTGATTACAGATCACTGTGCCTTGTGCTGGCTGTCGTCCCTTAAAACTCCAACTGGACGACTTGGCCGTTGGGCCTTGAAACTACAAGAATATAGCTTCGACGTGGCATACAAATCTGGCCTAATGCACCAGGAAGCCGGCAGTCTATCCCGTCACCCTGTGGACCCACCTGACCTTTCAGCACATGATCCTGACCCTTGTGTCTTCGCCATGTCGGCTTTCACCGACATACGCGAGGAACAGCTCAGCGATGTCCACTTGCGGTTTATCATGCAGAGTCTATGTTTGCCCACGTAGACCGGTCACTACTCTTGTTCGTTCTACGCGATGGCATTGTTTACCGACCCAACGCCTGCGCCGAGAGACCAGACCTACTACTCGTAGTTCTTGCGACACACCGTTTCGCTGTACTTTAACAGCTTCACGACGCCCCAACCGCGGAACATCTCGGGGTCACGCGCACGTACGATCGTGTGCGGCGTAGATTTTTCTGGCCAGGCCTTTACCGTTCTGTGCGCCGATACGTTGCTGCATGTGAGTCCCGCCAGCGCTCCAAACATTCCACTTTGCCACCAGCTGGTCCACTCCAACCAATAGACATACCAACCGTTCCCTTCTACCGCGTCGGTCTTGATCTCGGACCATTTCCTACTTCTCTCACTGGAAACAAGTGGATAGCCGTAGCCACTGATTACGCCACAAGATACGCTATCACACGAGCGCTACCGACTAGCTGTGCCACTGACATCGCGGATTTCTTGCTTCATGACGTAATTCTTCACCGTGGCGCTCCTCAACAGCTGCTGACAGATCGTGGTCGCTCATTTCTTTCAAAAGTAGTAAGTGACATCCTTCGCTCGTGTTCGACGCGTGACAAGCTCACTACGGCCTATCACCCACAAACAAATGGTCTTACCGAGCGCCTAAGTAGAACATTGACCACAATGCTCTCCATGTACGTTTCCAAAGATCACCTTGATTGGGATAGTACTTTGCCTTATGTAACATTCGCGTACAATTCGTCACGCCACGACACCGCTGGCTTCTCCCCCTTCTATTTACTGTTCATCCGCCATCCAGCGTTACCCTTCGAGACTCTTCTCCCATCAACTACGCAAACGGTTACAGAGTACGCCCGGGATGCCACTGCTCGGGCTCAAGTGGCTCGCCAAGTCGCACGGGAACGTCTTCTTGGCTCGCAGCTCTCTCAGAAGGCCCGCTACGACAGCCATCACAGAGTAGTTTTCTACTCTCCAGGTTCATTGGGCCTCCTCTGGACACCATGCCGTCACGTTGGCCTCTCTTCGAAGCTCCTGTCTCGCTACTCGGGGCTGGATTTTATGCTGGATTACCGAGGTCACATACGAGATTGCTCCGTTGGACAGTCAGTCGTCGTCGTCCGCACCCGCTACAGACGTCGTCCACGTGACCCGCCTCAAACTCTACATATCCGCATATGATCCTACTGTCCTTTAGGCGCCAAGACGGCGCAGCCAGCGGTGGGGGGTTATATGTTACACGACATCGGCAACGAAAGAGCATCATAGACGATGAAGACGATGAAAGCGACCGTGCTTGTGTTGTTGTTGCTGTTGGGCCTCCATGTTGGCTGCAGCTGCCTCTGACTCTCCCTGCATATTTTGTAAATATACTTATTTCATTCATTCTCTCGGCCCGTGATACTAACATTCAGTACTCTGTTCACCAGCGTGCCCCCGCTTCTTCAGCAACATAGTGTACAAACAGTGTGTAAGTTATTCAAACATACACTGAGGATTCTTGTATTTAAGTGTGTTAACGCTTCCATAACAGCCAATGTCTTGCGAAAGTTTCAATTGGTAAACGCTAATCCCACCAGGCTCGCCTCTAACAAAAATTTTTACTACCACATACACGCACTAACTACGTCAAACACACTACCATATTTGCTGCCATACATTTTTGGAATGCAATACCACTATGCACTAACCAATTGTCATTCAATACTTTTAAGTAGATTTGAGATGTCTGGTGTATCAATAATTGAAGTCTCTTTTGTTCAATATTCTACCGCCATCCTTTTGATAGCCATGTATCATTACTGAAGATTGTTTTATTACCATTTCAGCTGGAATTTGCATTACAAGTTTGTCTTGTCTTTACTTCTATTATAATAACTTGCCACTTTTTAGTTGCCATTTTTCTTAGTTATCAACATGTATATTTTTCACAGGAGCCTTGAGCCTTTAAGCTTTGTGCTATGGGACCTCCTTCTGTATATAGTAACCCATATTCGTTTACGTATTTTTCAACACATAAACATTTTTGACCGACTGACCTACATAGCCATAACATAGCAGACAAATTGACAGGACAGACCGAATGACTTACCCTATGGAATTTTAATAGTTTAAAATTTCACCAGTAAAAAGCATTTCAATTGAAGGATTATGAACGTGCTAGAAATTGAAGCCATTGAGCAGTGGAAAGTACACCCAGCCCTCGAAAAGTTGAGGTGGGTTCAACTTTGATTTCACCTCTGATGACAGACAGTACTGTGGTGTAACTGTGCTTGCATATGACCTAACAGACCAGATTTTGCTTGTTTTAGGTTAAGTGAAGGCGAAAACATCCAGCACTACTAACTGTATTTGCGATTTTTTTATTCACAGTAAATATGAAGTTTCCATGGGAGCAGGTTTGCTCTGGCAATTCATGGATTCATTTTACATTTTGAAATGTTAGCAAAGGTTATGTTGCACAACAGTTTCTTGTCAAGCAGAATGAGAAATTATGTGTACTAAACGCCTTCAGAAAAAGTCCACAAAGGCGGATGCTGTCCTTATTGCAGTACTTGTCCCCACTGAGCCGAGCAGCAGTACGCGGCAGCATTCCAGCTCCGGTCACTAATCCACATTGCTTCAGGGGCCAGCCTAGAAGTAGCAGAGGATAAAACAAAATGGTTTTAAGTTTTGAGTTCAGCAACGTGCTGTCTAGCGACATTTATAGTTCTTTTTTAGGACAATTGCATGTGAAGAAGTCTGCACTTTTAGGTGTGTCAATATCACAGAGCAAGTCACATAGATGGCATATCATCGAGCACAAAACCGACAGCTGCACAAGTGGCTAAATCAAAGACTGAATGCAAGTAATGGAAGCAGAGAGAGGTTTGCATTGTTAAAAAAATTATGTGACATAATCCCGTATTTAGTCTACTAGACTGCTTTACCATTCAAGCTGAATACACATGAATCACAATAGTGAATAGAAGCGATACTGTAATAGCAAGATGAAAGGCTGCCAAGTAGTTTCTAACTTTGTCTGGTTGATTGCCACAGCTACACGTTTAACAAAGCGAGAGTGAATTGCACGACAACAAAGAAAGAAGCATCGGCCATCCTAAAGGCACCCGGAAGCTTCCACGAAAGACGGTGGCGCGGTATCTATATTGGGGATACCACTAGCTGATGTGTAAAACAGTAAATGCTGTCAAGCTTTGAGAACAAACTGAAGCTCTAAAACTGACACAAGCAGTATTGATCACAGTGCCATCTATACTAATTAAAAATATTCAATCTCTATCATAACTGCTGTCATTTGGGTGGTCATGACGGCATCCAGTGGACATACATGAAGCTAACCAAGCAGTTCACATGATCTGGCATTAATGAATAAACAACAAGATGATTATATCAAGAGTGCCAGATTAATAAAGTAAAATTTAGGCAGCTGACTCAACATATGGTACAATCACAACACTTTTTTACACCGTTGGAGGTCAGTCACATGGACTTAGGAGAATTTTGTAGAAAAAATCCAAAGGTTATGGCTAGAAAAAGGTTGGTGGCAGCAAAAGCACAAAAGTGTTACAGTAGTGAAGCGAGCTGAAGCAGTTGCAAAAGACAAATGATTTCTTGCATAGGCTAATAGGAGGACTGAGGTAATAAATAAATAAGTTAGAAATGATAGCAAGAAGAGAATGTGTCTGTGCATTATGTGCAGTCTTTTTACATACCACCTGTTAGCAACTTGTACGATAGGCCATGGTTAGTCTGCATGGAAAGAAAAATGTGAACTAACTTTTGCAAGGTCACCAAAATTTCAGTATGTTTTCTTTTTAAACAATGCATAATAAATATGTGTCAATAGCATAGCATTGTGCCATTTTGTCAGTTACACCTTTGAGTATAATTATGGTAACAATCTTAGCATAATCTGTACAAATCAAAAATTACCTGTCAACCTGAGGTGTAATGATGTTTTCTTCTTTTTTTCATGGAGCCAAAACTAGCAGTGTTCCAAAGGGCCCAAGAAATTTCTCAGCAAGGTGCTGCAAACACATTATAAACTGTTCATAAACTGATCATTCACAGCCCTACAGCTAGTGTAGCACTCCCTGTCACGTGCACTCGGCACACAATCATAATTCATTTGCCTTAGGCGAACATGCATTCTCTGTAAAAGGAAATGCCAAAAAGGGTGCATTTTTTTAACACTACGCGCAACTTAGCTGCAGCTGGTTATTCTCTTCATTCACAGGACATTTGTCAATTAATTTACGTGTAAAGAATGCAAGCTCAAACCGCTAACGATTCCGGATTGCAGTTTTGATGTACACACTGCACTCTTTCCCACACTAACTGCAGTGATTTGCAACATGATGTTTACTCTGGGCACGCGATCGTAAAGATTCCCACATGCCTTCCCCAAAATACATAGCAGCTCTGCGGTGAAGCCTCAAGTAACGCGTGCGTACTTTTTTTTCTATTACTTTATAGCTTTCGACAAACACTCAAAGCTGTGGGTTGCAGTTTAATTTTCTTTTTGATGTGGTTTAGTTTATTCCACTGAAGTCTATGCGCACTAAATGCACTGTGCAACAGCAGCAATAGTTGTGCTCGCGCTGGGTAGCGTAGTAACCGAAGCTGTGCCTGCCCGATCATTGTTTGCGAACTTGAGCGCACCGGCGGTCTCGTAAGCAAACATTTTATGGCTCTGTTCGGAACTGCAAAAAAGAACTTACCGAGACTAGCATCTCAACGTCTTCTTAATCTTTACTGGATACGACGGTCCACTTCTTGGCGTCTCCTGCAGTCGTTGAAAGCGGAGTGAAGTGCAGCTTCGGTAGAGGCACGCTTACAGCGTTTCTCGATTCACATGAAGTTTCCACGCGTCCCTCCGAATGTTCGGAAGGCGTTTTTCTCGATCAAGATCGCCTCAGCAAACACAGCGCGCGCGAAGTCTTGCCTGGAAGCTGCCTGCAGCATCGTCATGGGCGCAGCCATGTTTGCTGACGACATCACGCACGAACCGGCAAGGTTCCTTTTGGCGTGGCATGAGTGGTTGCCAGACTGTTGCTAAATTTGGCCAAAAAGTTTTTTCCTGTAGTTGAGGCTTTTTTGTAAGAATTTGGTGCTATCCGCGGTGCATTTCTTGACTCAAATTTTTTTCTCCTGTAGTTGTGGCTTCTCCGTAAGAGTTTGGTGCTATCCGCGGTGCATTTTGCGAGTGCATGAGCGACGCTGGCCGTTTTTATTAACGGAATGAACCGCGCCTAGCAGAAGTCGCGCGTGGTGCTGCCGTGCAATTAAGAGGCCGTTTTAATTCCGTTTCAATTAACGGAATGAACCGCGCATTACAGTATTCGTTTTATTTACGGAATGAACCGCGCCTAGCAGAAGTCGAGCGCGGCGCTGCTGCGCAATTAAGAGGCCGTTTTAAATAACGGAATGAACCGCGCCTAGCAGAAGTGGAGCGCGGTGCGGCTGCGCAATTAAGAGGCCGTTTTAATTAACGGAATGAACCGCGCATTACATAATTCGTTTTAATTAACGGAATGAACCGAGCCAAGCAGAAGTCGAGGGGCGTTCTCTTGCTGTGTGCGCAGCTGTGCGATTAAGATATCGCGTCTCAGTATTAGGGATTACGGGGAAAACTGAATAGAGTCGCAGGAGGTGATGCACTGCCCACTCCCCCCTTACTTTTCTTTTTTTTCCCTCTCTCAGCTGATCGTGTCGCGTCGACCGCGCGCTACGACGGGGGACGCTACGCTTCCCCTAGCTGTGTCAGCACAAGACATATCGTTCGGACTCGTATATACATGTGATGAATAAGCGTTCCAAGGCTGGTTAATCGGGGTACGTCGGATATGCTACAGCTATGTACGCCTGGAAGGCTGCTTTATCAAAGCAGATGGAGTGAATTAAGCGCGACTTGCGCGTACCTGTAAATGGGACCCGGCCGACGAGCCGCCGTCGCTTACAGGGCCCCACCCACAATAAGCACAAATTGTCTCTCAGCTCAAGAGCGCAGTATAAAACAATAGGGCGGTTACATAACAATAAAATGGCATAATATGTCTCACTACACGCTCATCACTCACGATATGGCAGGGATCCCTAAACGGGATATCGGCGAGCGATCACCTCCATTATTCGAAGGAAAGGGTCTTTCACGTTGAGACGTGCAACGACCAAGTACGTCTCGAGAGGCAAAAAAAAAATGGCAGCATATCCACGGAGTGAATGATGGAGAGTGGGGCGAAGCATTCGTCCGTCCATGCGTCCGTCTGTGTGACCGTCCATGCGTCTGTTCGTGCGCCCGTCCCTGCGTTCGTTCATGCATCCGCCCCTTCGTCCTTTTCATGCGTTCATCCATGCATCTCGCATCTTTTTAACATATATTCCCCATATAGAAGCACCGCCATTCAGTGGACATTCCAAGGACTAAACGAGAGGTGGCACACGCACACTTTCTTACGGCTTGCGCTTCGGGTCTACTTCCCACCTTCAACCATCTTGAGTTCTTGGTATATACTAGTTCACTGTATTCATGGCACTGCGGCCCAATGCTCACTAAACGTTTCTAAAACCAAGGAGGTTACGCCCAGCGAGTATAACGTAGCAACCTTTTCCTGTCAGATAGTGCTCAATGTACATGCCAGTGGCTGCTAATGTGAAATGAGAGACAGGAGGATTCAGCTTTTAATTTCTTACGGCTTGCGCTTCGTATCTGCTTCCCCCCTTTAACCACCTCGAATTCATTCATGGTATATACTAACTAGTTCATTGTATTCATGGCCCTGCGGATCAACGCTCGCTAAACCTTTCTAAAACTAAGGAGGTTAGACCCAGCGAGTATAATGTAGCAACCCTTTCTTGTCCGATAGTGCTCAATGTACATGCCAATGGCTGCTAATGGGGATCGCAGCGTGCGCGTTGACTAAAGCCGAATGCTCCTGTCTCTCATTCCCCATTAGCAGCCATTGGCATGTACATTGAGTACTATTTTTCATTGTTAAACAACGCAGAGAAGAAATCTCTCACCGGCACCACCTTGGAGGTCAAATGTTATACCTATTTCGGGTATGTGCCACCGGTGGTTACGTACTACGAGGGATGCACAAGCCATGCCATAAGAAGCTTCGCCCCTAAAAGGAGCCTTGCCCCTGTCTACCCTGCATCGCGAGTGTCCCGCGGAGCTGGGACAGCTAACTGTTTCCTACAACCATTGTACCTGAAGTGTGGGTCTGCTCGTTTTTTTGCCGGGGCGATTGTACGTGACGCCTTACTGCATCCTGGGTCACCATAATTAAGCCGAGGTCCTTGCGAATTCCCCATCACTCGGATGTCGGCGGCTGCTTGTGTGCTGTTCCCGACTGTCTGCAGGTCGAAGCGATGGCGTCTTCGACAGTCCAGTAACGCGACGGCTCCTGAAATGGTGACAATGTACTTGGCACACGTTACGGCATTTCATAAGGATCACGATCCTAAAACTTAGGGATTGCGACCGAGATATGGAGCACCAAATAACGAAAATTAAGAGGTTTACGTGAGCAAGTTTGGCCATGTCTCGACGCCCAATGCAGTGAGGTGGAGTACGTGCCCTGGGTGGTGTACTGTTTACGTGATACGTGGGTCACATCACGTAGCATCACGTAACGTCGTTCGCACTGCCGCTCAAGTCACCGTTGCTGTGGAGAAGGAGGGGCACCGAAGTGGAGTACGTGACCTAGGTGTTGTACGACTCGAGGCGTCTTCGCTTATCCCGTATTTTCACACATATGCTCGCGTCGCGTCGGCGCCGTGACCCACCGCCTCTTCCTCCGCAGACACTCGCGTCGCGTCGGGTCGGCGCCATGTCAACCAACGTTAGAGGCACAAAAAGGTTTTTTATGTTTTTTTATTCCAGGCGTCTTTGCCGATCCCGTCTTTCTCCGCAGGTGCTCGCGTGGCGTTAGGGCCGTGGCCCGTCCACTCTTTCTCCGCAGATGCTCGCGCCACGTCGGCGCCATGACCCACCCCTTCTTTCCCCGCTGATGCTGCATCACGTAGGCGCCCGGTCAATGTTAGAGCGCTCTGTCCCCCTTTCACCTTATGACCCTTATAAAATGCGTAACAGAGGCCTTCCTTCGTGAAATCGGACTGTCGCCTGCGCCATCGCTTCGACCGGCAGCACATTCTTCCCGGGACCACGGTGTACAGCGATGAGTGGGCCGCGTACCAGTGCATATTCAGACTTGTGGATGCCAACGGAACACCGCTAAACTTGGACTGGCACACCGTGAACCACAGTGTCAACTTCGTTGATCCTACGACAGGCGCCAACATGAAAAGGATTGAAAGTGAATGGCAAAAGGCAAAGCGCCGTCTCGTTCGCAACAGCAACAAGACGACTACCTCACTTATGCCGTCTCACCTCGCCTGGCTTTGGTGGGGATCAATTAACGCACGTCCCAACGTGAGACACCCTTTTCTTCGATTAATGGAGGTAATTGCTCGCCGGTATCCAGTTTAATAGTGATTAGCGCGTAGTGAGACATATTGTAATTTTATTCTTATGTTTATGTTGTTATTATGTTGTATTATTGTTATTGTCATTATTATGTTTATTATGTCATTTTATTCTTATTGTTGTATACTAAGCTCTTGAGCTGAGAAACAATACACAATCATTATTTGAAATTTTGGTAGTTTGTGCTTATTGTGGGTGGGGCCCTGTAAGCGACGGTGGCTCGTCGGCCGGGTTCCATTCAGGGGCGGCGCCAGGATGTTTTTACTGGGGGGGGGGGGGGCAACCACGAAAAGTGAGTTCCTCCGGGGGGGCAAGCTAGCTCTGCTCCTACTAGGTTTTCAATATATGCTTCCGTGCACTTGGGTGGGCATAGGGGGGGCAGGCGAGAATTTTGGGGAGGCTCCAGCCCACCCTTGCCCCCCCCCCCTGGCGCCGCCCCTGGTTCCATTTACAGGTACGCGCAAGTCGCGCTTAATTCGCTCCATCTGCTTCGATAAAGCAGCCTTCCAGGCGTACTTAGCTGTAGCATATCCGACATACCCCGATTAACCAGCCTTGGAACGATTATTCATCACATGTATACATGAGTCCGAACTATATGTCTTGTGCTGACACAGCTAGGGGAAGCGTAGCGTCCCCCGTCGTAGCGCGCGCTCGACGCGACACGATCAGCTGAGAGAAAAAAAAAGAAAAGTAAGGAGGGAGGGGGCAGCGCATCACCTCCTGCGACTCTATTCAGTTTTCCCCGTAATCCTTAATACTGAGACGCGATATCTTAATCGCACAGCTGCGCACACAGCAAGAGAACGTGCCTAGACTTCTGCTAGGCTCGGTTCATTCCGTTAATAAAAACGGTCAGCGTCGCTCATGCACTCGCAAAATGCACCGCCGATAGCACCAAACTCTTACGGAGAAGCCCTAACTACAGAAAAAAAAATTTCAGCCAAGAAATGCACCGCGGATAGCACCAAACCCTTATGAAAAAGCCACAACTACAAAAAAAAAGCTTTTCAGCCAAATTTAGCGGCTGTCTGGCAACAACAACCCCAAAGTCTGGCAACAAATTTATGCAACGCCAAAAGGAACCTTGCCCACGAACCAATGAGCGCGCAGCTTTCGAGAGCCTTGTAAGAGCGCCTGGCGCAGTGCATTGTGGATGGGTCTATCCGCTCGCCTTTGTAAACTCACCTCGTAGTGAATGCCACCGCTACTGATTACGCTAACGATGCCAAATGAGAAGCACGAATATCTTTACGGATAGACCCACCCACAATGCACTGCGCCAGGCGCTCTTACAAGGCTCTCCGGCGCACGCCTGTGTCGACACGACGCTGCCGCAAGACTCGTCGCTCCGTTTGCAACGATCGCCGAAAGCATCGAAGTCGGCGCAGATATGCAGTGAAAAATAGATGATGACGGTTTGAAGAGTTCATGTGTGGACTATATAACAATAATCGTAACTCGATA